CCGATGAGCCACAAACTAACCAAACGAACTGAATGAAACAGCTCTCCAGTACTCCGTATTGGTTTTCACTGGTTCTCTGACTGATATTAATCCGTGATCAAACGTCAAGTGTTACTGTTTTATCCGAGACGTATTCCAATAACCGAGGTTGAAACCTATTTGAAAATATGCCTTCAGTATATATTGAAATTTTTAGATACAATTGTGTGATTAAAACAATGTGAAATGGAGTGTATATATGATACGTTTAGATGCATAGAAAGTTTAGGTAGGCCAGTGATTTAAGCAAGGTAGCCAAAATATAACTCAAAGTCATTCTTAATGGCACAGATAAGTTCAGTATGTATGGTGGTGGTGTTGGTGGATTCAACATAGAACTTGGCACCGAAGTGCAGCAGTTCGAGTTGCCACCTTCCAAAGAGCACACAAAGGTAGACAAGAAAATGAGTGAAGAGAATCAATAGAGTTTTGACAAGTATAAGAGTGAAACAGAATGAGTAATGGTAGGAAGGAATATGAAAGATTACAGAGACTGAATACATCTGCGTAAGCCATTGACAACGATTTTGAGCCATGTCACCTATTGTCTCCAGTCAGTGATTCTTAGAGTCCCAACCCGGAAGTCTGCATCTCTCTACCTGACTCAGTTTAACTGTCAGGGATTTCATGGATTGATGAGGCCATGTTTTTGTTTGGCCACCACTTACTCTTTTCCAACCTGCACCTATATCAGCTAGTAATGCCCGTCGGGGGGGGGCGATGGTTAGGCATGTGCAGCACGTGACCTAGCCATCTCAATCTATGCAACTTTATAGCCTCGTCGATTGATTTTCCCTCTTTGCCCAACACTCTACGCCTAACGTCAACATTACTTACCTTATTATACCACCTAACGTGAGAAAGAGATCGTAGACATCTAAGATCAAAAACAGTTAGCCTTTTCATGTCTTCAACTCGTATTGGCCATGTTTCAGAGCCATAGAGAAGGACGGAGAGAACTGCTGAGCAGTACACACGTCCCTTGGTTGACAGCCGGATGTCACGCCAACGCCAGAGACGGTGTAGGTTAGCGAAAGCAGCCCGAGCTTTTTGGATCCGTGCTGAACATTGTGGACCCACTAAATTACTGTTCCAGTGGTGGTAAGTGGAAGTATCTGCTAGCGCAACTCTACATTCATCAAATGATGCACAGTGAAGGCAATATACAAAAAATTTACATTAAAATTTCTATTTGCACAAGTTCTTCATATACTGGCTCTCTTGTCTTCCTTCCATACTTTCATCTGTCGTTAAGATATTCAAGATATTCGCAGAAGACATCACACACATGTGAAAAATGGGCCAAATTCATTTTATCTAACTCACATCACCCTCTTCACTCACAACTCTCCCCTTGCATCTCATCCGGTGAAACCAGAAGCCTATATAGGAAACTATATGCTCGCACCAGCAAGCAAGTACAAAAACTCAACCATACCCTACTCAGTTTGTGTTCTGTGCGATAAAGAAAGCATTAGGCGTGACACCTATAATTCATTAAATACTAAGTAGTACAACTGGACCTCGTCTTTGCAACTCATATCATTTATAGGTACAACATTTTCTTTCTTTCTTTTCCTATCCTCTCTCTCTTTTTCTCTTTTTTTCCATTATGTACTGCTTTGTTTCTTTCTTCCGCTTACGCCAGTAAATATTACAGCATCTACTTTCCTAACACCTTCAAACACTGTTCAACTTTGGCTTTGCTACCGACATGCCAATGTGTTGTTGTCATAATGAACTGAGACTTCCTTAATCTATGTAGAATTCTATTTATTGATAATGTACTAACTGGATGCAATACTGTGGTAAAAATGCTGAGAATTCCATTCTGTATCACAAATACTGTTTTGAAATAAAGCAGATCATTATTATTATAATATACCGCTTATGGATTCTTCACAGTAGTATATGCCACCTCATTATTCTTCATTGTATTATTTTTCGACCAAATTATTTCCGTTAAGTGAATTTGTTTCATAAAGTGAGTCAACTTGAAGTGCTTCATCCCAGTATAAAGCTCTGTGTCGAAGATTCAGTCAGTCATTTGGTCATTAACCCTGTTTGACACTTCACAGTAAACAGTGTCTAATTTTTCAATAAAAATCGATACAGAAATCAATACAACTCGATTAGATAACAAAGAAAGAGAGAGACTAAAAGAGGTAATGGAAGTAGAACTACGCCCACGGGAACAAGCTGCATTCAGGGAAGGCAAGTCGTGTGCGGATCAGATTGCAACTCTTCGGGTCATCTATCTCAATTTCATCGACTTTGGGAAGACTTTCGACAGCCTTTACCAAGAAGTAATTTGGAGACTACTACAACACTATGGAGTGCCTCAAACCTTTATTAACCTCAATCAATAGCTATATGACAATGCCACATGTCAAGTCGTGCACATGGTAAACCTCAGAAAGGTCTTTGGTCGGTCGGTCGGTCGGTTTTCGGCATAGAACTTTGCACATATGTGCAGCAGTTCAAGTCGCCACACTCCATGTAGCACACAAAGCAACAGAAGAAAGTAGGAGAAATGCATATTAGAGAGAGACAGTAAACAGAGGTGTGAGACAAAGGAATAGTAATAACGAAGAACAAAACAGTTTCATTGAAAACCATAAGTCACAAGGAGTGGATGCATCTGCGTCAGCCACTGAGAACGATTTTGAGCCATGTCACCAATTGTTTCCAACCATTGGTTTTTACCGTCCCGAGGACCCCAACCAGGAAGTCTACACATTCCTACGTGGCTTAGACTAACTGTTGTGGATTTCATTGACTGGTGCCATGTTTTCGTTTGACCGCCGCTAGCTCTTTTCCAGCCTATTCCTATATCAGCTAACATTGCCCGTCGAGGAAGGCGATGACTAGGTATGCGTAACACATGTCCCAACCATCTCAGTCGATGTAATTTCACAGTCTCGTCGACTGATTTCCCCACCTTACCTAGCACTCGACCGAAGCCTCAATTCAATATTGCTCACCTTGTTATATCACTTCACGCGGGAGAAAGAACGCAGACACCTATGATCGAAGACAGCTAATCTTCTCATGTCTCACAGCCATAAAGGAGGACGGAGCGGACTGTTGAGCAGTACACACGCCCTTTGGTCGATAGTCGGATATCGCGTCTGCGCCAGAGACGGCGTAAACTGGCGTATGCGAACCTAGCCCTCTGTGTTCGTGTTGAGATTTCGTCTGAGATCAACCCGTTGGGGCTGATGGTACTTCCCAAGTAAGTGAAGTGGTCAACCTGTTCTACCACTTCAGTTCCTATTTCTAATCTAGGGGTCGGTGAAGTCCAATCCTGCAGCATCATCTTACATTTTACAGGGGCGAATCGCATGCCAAACATATGAGGATTGCAGCTCAAGGTGTTCAGTAGGCTCTGCATTTTGTCAGAGTCCTCGCCTAGAAGGACTACATCGTGTGCATATTCTAAGTCGACGAGATTATTCCCTGGTAGCAAGTCAATCCCTGAGTCTCTGAAGTGTGTTAGGGTTAAGTCCATTAATACGTCTATGATGAAGTTGAAGATAGGGGTAAGACAACGTCACCATACTATTTTCACCAATGACATTTCTAAGTGTGGTGGACTGGATTATGCGTTAGGCCGTGGGGAGCCCAAATATAGGAGTACTTTGACGTGGTAAGAAGAATCTAGGAAATCTGGCTTTCGTGAATGTCACATAAATTCGAAGACTTACAGGCGAAAACCAAAATGTTGTCAGAAGAGGCAAGTAGCAAAAACAGGAATGCAAGTGAACATAAAGAAGACAGAGGTGATAAAGATAACCAACCAACAACAATTAGCACCAATCACAATCAACAAGAGAAATTTGAAAGAACAAGAATCGGAAAGACAGGCACACCTCCATCACTCTGAAATAAGTTTGGAAATCTGCTACATTCAGGATGAACAACAAGATTCAAATTTCCAACACAAATTTTTATTCATTTCCTCTATAGAGGTCAGAAACTTAGCCCGTCACAAAAAGCATTTTCAACAGTCTACTGCGAACTTTCATCAACAGCTGCGTTGACTGGCTCCGTAATCAAGATCAGATGGCCAACCAGAAAGGATTATCTACAGGAAACTCTGGGAACGAACAAACCAGCGACTTGCTATTCTTCAAGTATTGGTTTGTAGGGATTTGATTGATTGGTTACAGGATTTCTTTATGAGCTGACACTGGTTACAGAACCATTGGAAAACCTGGGAGCACTGGATAGCTGTTTCGTCCTAGTTTGGGACTCTTCATCAGTATGCACCCACCCATCATGGTTCTAACCCAGGACCTTCTAGTTATAAGGCGAGCTAGCTCGTAGCCACTGGGACCCAATCCAGTGGCCAGCACATGAATTCCAACTTCTGCTAATTTACGACATAGCGCGATCGCTAGGACGAAACAGCTGTCCAGTACTCCCAGGTTTTCCAGTGATTCTGTAACCAATGTCAGCTCATGATGAAATCCTGTAACCAATCAATCAAATCCCTACAAACCAACACTTGACTATCACTGGGGACTTGCTCTATTCAGGTAGGTAGTTACCTGTGGTTCTAGTGGCAAGTCGTGACCAGTAGGGTACAGCAGGTTGGATGTGAGGACAAATACTCACCGAACACGCAACCAACTTACTGTTGAACAAATATTCAGAAGAAAATAAAGATGGATTGGGCACACACCACTGAGGAGACGCCTGAGTGACATAACGCTCCAGTCTGGTCATTACTCGACTGGAACCCGAGTGGGAAATAGCAAGCTGGCAGTTTTTCCAAGGGTGGCATGGAGGAGATCGTGTGATGAGAAGATGAAAGTTAATGGGTAATCACATGGTCAGATAGACAGGACTGCAGAGAACAAGGTGAAATAGAACCTAAGAGAATAATGATAATAGATAACAGAATAAAAGATATACGAATAGTAATTATAATAATAATAATAGCGAATAGTACTTACAGCTTTAAGTTGATATTCTACTTCACGTAATGCTCTTAGAGTATCATGCATTCTCATGCGCAGTACACCACTGACTTGATCAGCTTGATTAGCCATACGATTCATTGCCATATGTAGGCCATTATGTAATTTATGCAATAGATCACCACCTTTAAGAATAGCTGCTTTAGCATTATCCAGTGTTTTACGACTAATATCCTCCCATGTTTGTAAATCTAATGAACTGTACATTAAGATAGAGAGACAGACAGACAGGTAGATAGATAGATGGATAGACAGACAAATAGAAAGGTAAATCCCAACATAACAATCGGCCCCCAAAAGTAGTTTATATATATCCTTGCCGTTCAAGGGTGATCAACAAAGTCTGATCGACTACAGAAAGACTCAGGGCCTCATTTAATAGAACTTACTATTCTGCTAAACTTATTTTCGTAGAGAAAACAAGACCTGTTTTAACCTGTGAACCCTCCCGGCATCCGAATGAGTGTCACAACCCATTGTGATAACCAGTTTATATGTATTTGTATTCGCAGATACGTAAAAAGGACTCATCGGTCTCTGCAGGTTAAAGCTACAGAATACATTCCAAAATTATTCAATTCAATTTTAGATTTTTCCCGTCGATTGATTGGACCAAAGTGCTTGGTTTCAGGTTGACATGTCGGCTTCGGGTGCAGATGCTTCGAAGGCGTCTGGTCATGTAATTAGAAGTTAATTTGTGGATGGTGACTAGCAGTGGAATCTAGGATGCGCATCTCACCCTACTATTTGCGACTCGTCTCCCAGCTGGATGTACCTCCATTACCCAGTCAGTGATGATGTTCACACCATGGAGGGTCGAACCTAGTGCCCACAGTTTTGAACGCCAAAGCACTTGGGCCACGAGAGACACCTCCTGTGCAACGGATCATATTAATTATTTACACCAATTAACATTCCAAAATGGCTGAAACAGCAAATAAAATCACCGGATACAACTACTGATCCTGGAAATAGACGTATCCAACGTCATCTGTCACAAAGCATATAAATAGAGACGGGTAACAAAGTCAATTTCAATAATGTCTTTAAAACAAGTTTGGGTCATAAAATCAAATTCGTTGAAGCCGTAGCCATAAAAAGGCCTAAACCTGTTTTGTGTTCAAAAATTATTTGTCATTACTTTGAAGATGCCATGGTAGTCCAATTTATGAACTAAGGTTCAACCTACTTAATAATATTTTCAACCCCTTTCTCTCTTCTTTTTTCTTACCGCCTGTTCTTACGTCACCTCCGTACCTCATCTTTGACCTTGACCTGTGAACAGTTTGACCGAGTACTCCGGTCAAATCAATTGAGGGGAAAATCTGAATTGAATTAAATAATTAATAAGACCCGTTGCACAAGAGGCGGCTCTCATGGCCCAAGTGGTTTAGGGGATAACGCTTTGACGTTTAAGACTATGGGCACTAGGTTCGAGCCTCGGTGGTGGGGAATGCAGTTACATCCAGCGGGGAGACGAGTCCCAAATAGGACGAAATGCGCGTTATCTTGAGTTCCACTGCTAGTCACCATCCACCAAAATGACAACACTGCAATCATTTATGCTTTGTTTCCTTGAGCAAAAATGCGTATGACAAGTACCTATGTGACCCGAATATCTGATAAATTACGTCTTCTTATTGTTTTGTCGAAATTAGTAGAGGGAAGTGTGGAAATCTTCTCACTTTGATTATATTCACTTCTATGTATTTTCGTAAAGATCCTATAAATATTGATAATGGTATATCAAGACAGCTGATCATGACGTCTTTGATTGTTACTTTCACAGCTAGGTAGAGATGTCGACTCGACTGTGCGGCTGGGATTCCACTTATGTATTATTATTTCCTTTAGTTCCTACAGGAAAATACGCCTTCAGCCACACTTCTTTATTCCCTTCGGTTCTCCGCCAACGTTTTCATCATCTGGTTCTAGGTATGTCCACATGTTTTCATCTCCTCTTCACATCACCTCCTCCTCCATGTCACGCTCGAACTGATGACAAACTCACCGCTCCACATTAAGTCGGCTTCCACTCGAGTGATGGCCTGATGTGTAACGTCACTCACTTGATGGTTTGTTTTCTCAGAGTATGGCCAATTCACCTCCATTTCTTTCTGCATATTTGTTGCACAATCGGTTCCTGCTAGGTTGGTACGTCGTTCCCAGAGATCCCTGTTTCTGATCTTTTTGGCCGAACATCTCATCTTGAGTACTACTGAGCGAAGACAGCTGTTAATGAAGGTCTGTAGTAGTATTTCGAAGTGCCCTTCTTGACGCGGTACCGCGTCTCTGATCCAAATAGTAGTACTGATTTCACATTGGAGTTGAAAATCCCCATCTTGTTTTTCATGCTGAGTGCTGTTCATCTCCACACAGACTTGAGGATTCTAAAGACACTAAGAATCAATATCTGAAGAATGTCAGGGACATGGCTGGAAGCAGTTCTCAGTGGCACAGATACATTCACTTCTTCTGATCTCAGAGATCCATATAATCGTCATTATTCTCTACGTATTTATCTATTTCTGCCGTGTATTTTTATTTATTACAGATTCTTTGTATTCCCTTCCTCCGTTTTCATTATCTTTATGTGTACTTTCATAGAGTTCAGGTGGCAACTTGAACTCCTAGACATCTGTGCAAAGTCAGACGTTCATTAGTTCACTACTTTGCCAATAACAGGAAGTTGCATGAGCGCAAAAGAGGAGATAAATGAAGACGAAGAGAAGATAGTTGGCAGTCAGTTATATCAAAAGCTACTGAGTACGATAACATTCAAGGCAGAGAAGCAGCCATTGAAATGGACAGTAGTCACATACTGATGGATGTGCATGCCCTCAGTGATCACACACACACACTTTTAATAGTTAGCTTACTCACTTCTCTGGCAACCGATCATAGAATGGTTTGTAACCGACACCAGATGACTTTTCATTCATATTGTATACATCAATATCAATATGCATTGCATCATTTTTATTAGCAATATCTGAATAAAAAGCTTTAGCTGCATTATTCATTTCATTGAGCATATGAAATGCATCATCAATTTGTAATTGTAGATCTTTTTGTAAATCTTTCAGTAAAGCACGTTCCTTAATTGTCAAAGCAAAACAAAACAAAAAGATTGTGAGTAAATAGTAATCAATATTAAACATAAATTGTATAATTCCATTTTGCAACCTTTTCTTTGTTTCAATGTATCAAAAGCAACTACTGAACATTTTAAAAAATGAAGGCGGGAAAATTGATCACTTGAAAATTCAAATAAAACGGTCAAATTACTCTGGTAAATGAATTAACTCCCTGAATAAAGTGTACACTAGTATAGTTAATATTAACAGTAATGAGAAAATCAACTAAGATTGAAGCGAAAATCCTGATCAGACCTAAAACCTAATTGTTTTGAACGCCAAAGCATTATCCTCTGAGCCGATTGAGCCACGACAGACATCTGTTTTGTCAGTGAATACTTTTAAAATTGTAAAATCTCTCAGGAAAGTAAAGTCTTTTGTTAAATAAGCATATATGTTAACGATGATATATCACCCGGAAAAATTATCTTTTGGACGATTCATTTTCAAAAGCTGCTGTGCAATTGTAATTACATTTAACGAAGAATTCATAAGACCAGTCAAACACTGGTAGATTTATCAATAAAAATATGGAAGAAAAACCTCCATCACTGAAAATCACAACTGTTCCTGAGAAAACTCTCTTCATGAACGTAGAATTCAAAGGTGACACTGAAGCGGAAATCCTTCGGAACCACCTTTCTAAATGTTTTCAGAAGAAGACAAATCAGATTCCCCAGCAAAATCCTCATCTAGTCAAGTATCTTAAGGATAAGATACTGCTTTTGGCCACCCCAAAGTGTATTTATCAGTCCACTTGTTCCTGTGGAGCACAATTTCAATTCCGTAAACGTATTGTGGAACACTATGCAGCTTCTCTACTCAGAGGAGAAAAGAAGAATACGAGTAGCTCTACCCTAAAACACCTTGTCAACTCCGGACATTAGGCACCCTCTCATGACTGCTTCACAGTGCTTTACAGAGTTCCTCATTATCTCAAGTAAGAACTTGGAATATGCCACCTTCACATAGTCGAATTATTGGCTCTTCATGATCTGAAAACTGACCTCTACGTTCAAAAGCCCTTTCGTATATTCACTAGCGTTACTGTGGCCAAAGAAACGTCCCTACCATAATTTTGCTCCATTTTATTGTGTAAGTTTAGTATTATTATCCTTATTCTATTACCACCTAATTACTGTTCATTGGTAACATTGCATCTTCAAACAGATTTTGTAGACACACTTTATCGTCTTTCCAGTAGTTTTTGTCTGTATAAGGATAAAACTCACTCAGAGACAAACTCTGTAGACTAAGAGATCCGATGGACCCAATTAAACAAAATAATATAATTTACAAAATACCTTGCAATGACTGTGAGTAAGGTCAACTACATAGATCAAACTAGTAGATCAGGGTAGTCAGATTGTCAGAACATAAGAAATTAGCTAAGGTAAGAATGGTTGACCCCGAGAAGATAAGTAATTTACAAAAAACTCAGCGATTGCACTGCATGCATTAACACACACAACCACACAATAGGGTGGAAGAGGGTTTAAATTCTAAAAAGTAATGTAGGTAGGTGGAGAGAGAGTGATCGACTACTGAATCCTTGTTCATGGAGTCTACAACCAACACATGCAATAGAAGTGACTCAACGCAAATACCACAGATATGGAAGATATTATTGCCAGTTAAACCAGAGGATAATAAATAATGTTAAAATGTATTTCAATTCACATTATAAAATTCTAACAAGTTATTCATTTATTTTACTATAAAAGCATCTTATTTCCCATCTGATTGTATTTAATTGATAACACTAATATTATTTCCGAATGTACTTTATCCTATACTGATTTTATTCAAATATCTAGTCAAATTTTACTCATGTATATAAATGAAGCAAGAAAGTTGTGCGTGGGTGAGTACCTTGATTTGATTATGAGCAGCAATAAATTGTGCTCGAAACGTTGTCATCAGTAAATATTACTGTACAACACTGTGTGATTTATCAAAATAAAATTTTATGTATTATAGTTTTTGTCCACTTTAGAAAATTATATGAATCAGTTATTCTTAACCAATTGTGCAAGAAATATGCAGGAATAAATTGAGGTGGATTGGCGATACTTTGAGAAAACAAACCATCGAATGAGTGACATCACACACCAGGCTATCACTCGAATGGAACCGGAATGGGAAGTAGAGAGTTGGTCGTCAGTGAGAGGGTGATATGGAGGCGGAGCTCATGTGAAGAGGAGATGAAAGCATGTGGGCAGATGTGGAGCCAGGTGATGAAAACGTTGGCGGAGAACCGAAGGGGATGGAGACGTGTGGCTGAAGCCATATGTTCCTCTAGGAACTAAAGGAGAACAAATACTCTCCGAAGACATTGGCTAGGGGTCGCGCTATGTCGTGAATTGGCAGAAGCTGGAATTCATGTGCTGGCCATTGGATCGGGTCCCAGTGGCTTAATGGCATACGAGCTCGCCTTGTAACCAGAATGTCCTGGGTTCGAATCCCGGTGGGTGCGTACTACTGAAGAGTCCCAAACTTGGAAGAAACAACTGTCCAGTGCTCCCAGTTTTCTCAATGGTTCTCTAACTAATGTCAGCTCATGAGGAAAATCCTGTAACCAACCAATTCCTTACAAACCAACACTTGAATAATATAAATGTTATTCATCATACTCATTACGTCATTCCAACTTCTTTCCCTTTTTTTCTAATCTCCAATTAGTCATCCTTTTCTAGATTACACTTTACATTATATGATACATTTTCTAGAACAAATTTACCAGTATTTGATTGGTCTGATGAACTGTTTGTTAAATACAAATACACCTGCACGACAGCTTTTGAAAATGATTCGTCGAAAATAAAATTTTCTTCGCTGTTTACGTCTTCTTCTGTTGAAAACATTTATTCCCTGAGACGAGTTTAAAACAAGCAACAAAAGTTAACAAATAAAGCAGAATTTCAGTAAAACTCTTCAGCTGAATATTCCATCTACACTATTAGAAACATATTAAGGGGATATACAACTAATAAATCAATAAACTACAGTGAATTCATCAAGCAAAACGATCGATGCGAATATTCTATAGGTCGAGTTCACATAGATCTGACAACATTAAATCCTGTTTTATTAACGTAGGTTTCGCTTTTCTATTGTCCCTTTTGCAGTGTTCATCTAAAGATTTAGGAATGAAGAGATCAAATACTGAAACTAGCCAATGTGCTTGTGAAGTAGCATCGATTGAGATATCTGGGATAAGCAATCCCCTTCCTCTTGAGGTAACACAAGATTAGGTTTAAAAAGGGGTATGGGTCACTTCTTTCACTCGTCTGTGCAGTGTCATCTCAACTACGGGAAGACGACAAGAATGAGGACATCAAAAAGGAAAGGCGGATCTTCATTAATCTGCACTCAGCATAAAGAACAAGATTTTGATTTTCAACACTAATGCCAAATCCTTTCACTCAGTGCTTATATGTGGTTCAGAGATTTGATGAGTCATGAAGAGCAGTACCAACAGCTGCCTTCGCTAGATACAGAAGATCAGATAGCCATTTGGAAAGGATTAGGGTCCAAGAATTCTATCACTCAACGGACCAACCAAGAACCGATTGTTTAATACATATGCCGAATAAAATATAGATGGAGTGAACAAATACTGGGACCACTGGGTGAAATCATGCGTCAGGCCCTCGAGCAGAGCTCGAATAGTAAGTGGTAAGTTGGAATTATTTCCATATTAGTTTGTTTATTAGCTGCATCACATACAGAGTGAAACAGTATTATTTACTGGATGACATGTCGAACAAAATTTATTACTGTTCATAATCATATCATCAATTATAACCACACGACTTCGAAACTTGAGTTTTATAGTTTTCTTTGTTCTCTCCTATTTGTCGTCGTCATAGGGGCATTAAAATTTTCCAGATGTCTAGGTGGACAGGTATTGAATCATTCCCACTACACGTGTTTGCAGTTGATTCGAGAAACAAAGCTTCTGTTATCAATCTCTCCCTCCACCCTGTGACATTAGATTTTAAAACTCTCTGTCATCTTATCCTATCCTATTGTATGGTTGTGTGTAACTGCATGAAGTGAGTGCTATAGCTGAACTATCCTCCAGATTTCACAGCAGTAGAACAGAGGCAGTCAGACTAGCCAAGAACAAAAACCTAGAAAAATCTGGATTAGTTGACCCGAATAAGATAAGAAATCTAGAAAATAGTTCAGCTATACCACTCACTACAAGCAGTTACACACAACCATACAATAGGATGGGATAAGATGACAGAAAGTTTTAAAATCTAATGTTACAGGGTGGAGGGAGAGATTGATAACAGAAGCTTTGTTTCTCGAATCAACTGCAAACACGTGTAGTGGGAATGATTCAACACCTGTCTACCTAGACATCTGGAAAATTTTAATACCCCTATGACGACGACAAATAGGAGAGAACAAAGAAAACCATAAAACTCAAGTTTCGAAGTTGTGTGATTATAATTGATATGATTATGAACGGTAATACATTTGGTTCGAAACGTCATCCAGTAAATAATACTGTTTCACTCTGGACTTCGCCGATGATATATGTCTGATTTGCCACAAACTGGAAGATATGCAAGCGAAAAGCAACAAGTTGGCAGAAGAAGAATCAAAGATAGGACTTCAGGTAAACATAGAGAAAACAGAGGTAATCAAGATTCCTGGACAAGGACAACAACAACAGACAACGATCAGCGTAAATGGGAGGAACCTGAAAGAAACAACCTCTTTTACCTGCCTCCCTGGGAAGCATCGTTTCAACTACAGGCGAACGGGACTGACGAGGATATCAAAGCAAGACAAGCTTTCACTACTCTCAAGTCTGTGTGGAGGTCAACAGTCAGCACTCAGCATCAAAAATAAGATCCGGATTTTCAACTCCAATGTGAAGTCAGTCAGTGCTACTCACTATACGGATGGATCAGATACTTGCACTGCGCGTCATAAACAGCATC